ATTCATGACCTTGCACTTGCCAGGCAGGCACTGTGCCACTGAGCTATATCCCCGGCCCCTGGAAATTATATATTTCATAGTATATTTGAGTTGAAGCTGAATACTTTTATGAATTTTTGTGTATGGGCACAACTACAAAGATGATTTACAAAAGATAGTAGTAAAGAATTACTCATGCTAAATATATTTTGAAAATCAAGTATAAGAAGTATTGTACTTCCAATAATGTTTTTTGCTTTTGAATATTGTCTATTTTTTATAAAAAATATTTTCTAAATCCTTTCCTCCCCAGGATTGATATTCTATTTTTTTTGTTTTGTTTTATTTTTTCATGTACCGGGAATCGAACTCACGACCTCGCACTTGCCAGGCAGGTGCTGTGCCACTGAGCTAAATCCCCAGCCCCATATTTCCTCCCCGGTATAAATGAATACCAGAAAATGCATCTTCAAAATGAGGAAATTCTTTTTGCTAACAAAATAAATGTAGTATCTATTTTAACAATTATAATCTTTTAAAAATATTAGCCATAAATTGAGAGGAAGTTGGGGGGCAAAAATTATACTTCCCCATTTTTATTTTATGAATCCTGTGGACATCCAGTCTGTTATCTTTTCTTCCCCAGACTCTTTAAAATTGCCATTTTTTCCCCCTGAACTTGAAATTCTAACTTTAGTCAGTCTGTTAATACTGGAATAATTTGTTTGGAAAAAAATCACTTACAAACACCTAGTAAATGGCTAAAATTTGGATTTGCTTTTTGAATTCAGGATGTACACAAAAATGTTCGATGTTAAGAAGACCTTATGGTTGAACTCTTTGATCTTTCTGATGCCTGTTTCTGTCCTAGGTGGCTCACCCCTTGATTCGCCATCAGCTTGTCAATTATATCTACAATGGATTCTTGGTCCCGGTCTTGGCCCCTGCTCTTCATAAGGTCAGCGGTTGGCTCATGCGTTGGTTTGTTTATAGTACCACTGATGGAAACGAGGAAGATGACCAGCTTGCTGGGGGCTTTACCCTTATTTTTTTCTCATTCCATCCCTGCTTCTTAAGAGTATCAAGCATGGCTTACAAGTAGCCATAGGTTAAGTCCAGTGGGTTCCTTTTTGTGTCGCAGAATGCTGCCCAGTGAACACTGAGCAAGGCAGTCACGCCAGAGGAGTATTGGCGGTGGGTCTGACTCTTGTGCCTACCTCACGCGGTGCACAGTGGCTACAGGGAGCTCTCTGTTCCGCCGTATGCTGAGGCCACGTCTGTCACCAAGACTACAGGGTCTGCTGTGGGCATGGAGGGCAGTGGGAGCGCAAGTGCCACGGATTTGCCATCTCCTTAATGGAACATGATTTTCTATTATAACAATTTTGTCACAGCAAAAATTAAAATGAAGCCAAGTTAAAGTCCCATCAAAGGTTGGCTGTCTCATTAGCGCCACTCTGAATTCCGTATGGCCCTCATTTTGTGTAATAAATCAGCTGGTATCTTTCACATTGTGAGCTGTTACAAGATGCCCATGAACCTAGACTTCTAATTTTAAGGAGTTTTTTTCTGGGCTGAGTGAGCAGGCTTGTACGGTATTGAGCTCAGAGGATTTTTGTAACATTTTTGGAACTGTCGCTTCTGGGAAGGAGAGAAGCAAGGAGCAGCTTACATGTTGTAATGCCCTCCTTCATCTACTGCAGTTGCATTTTATGCACTCCCGTGTTCTGGAATCCGAGAATACTTAATTGTAGCCCTCAGAGGAACGGCTGCACCTGCTGATGGGGTTTCTGGTTTACAGCAGCAGGTCTTGATGGAGGATGTTTCCCTTTTACTGCTCAGAGCCTTTTGAACACACTGGCTGTGTTTTTCTGAAACAAACAGGGTGCTTGGACTGACTAGACTTGCAGCTTCCAGAGGTAGTCTTGGGTATGGTTTAAACATCAAGACACCGAGATTGCCAGGTTACTTTAGTGCTTTATGGGCACAAAGACAGGAAATCTGTGAAATGAGATCTACCCTGGAGAACAGAGGGCATGGTTTTGGCAAATGCAAACCTTACATTTGTTTCTAGGCCATCGTTCTGTTAGTGTTCTGCTGTTTGGGGGGTGGGGTGGCTGTCTTGCTCGCAACGTCTCTCTCGGCCTCTGTGAGGAGGAGCTTTCCTCTCCAGCAGAACACAGCAGTGCTTTTGAAATTCTATGGCAGTAATTAGCTCTGTACTCCAGTGATGGCTAACCTTTCAAGACTGAGTCCCAAACTGCAACCCAGAACTCACTCATTTATCACAAAGTGCCCGTACACCTGAATACTGAGGTTTTAGCTGGGGAAAAAAAAAAAAAAAAAAAACAAAAAAACTTACACAATAAAAGAAACACACAGTAACTTGCAATGGTACAAAGAGCCCACTGTGGCCCTCATGCCATAGGTTGGCCACCACTGATACTCTTCGTTGGTTCTGACCCGGCTTCTCACTGACCTGTTGACGTAAAATAACTTCACTGACATCAAATAATTATTACAGTTGTTATAGTTAGCATATTTTAATGTTACAAATGTGAATGACAGTCCACTTGTACATGTTAATGGGGTACCGTGTGATGTTTTAATATGTGTGTAATATTGTACAGTGTTTAAATCAGGTTAAGCATATTTATGTTCTGAAGCATTTAATGTTTTTTTATGGTAAAATCTTTCAAAATCCTCTCGTCCAGCTTTTGAAACGTAGGTACGTCATTGTTTTCTGCAGTCACCCTACCATACAGTAGCACACAGAGCATCTTGCTCCTCTCTAATTAGGACAGAGTGCAGTGACAGCTCTGTGTCCATAACGGAGGACTGAATCCATCGAATCCAGAGTGCTGTTCTGGGGATTCGGCTGGTCGCACTGTGTGCCTCCCTCAGAGTGCTTACCTCCAGTCGTATCTCGTGGTTAAATGCGCTTGCTTAACCTCTGTCCCCTGTGGAAAGAACACTTCTCATGGCAGGGCTGCCCTGTGTTTGGTGCACTGGGGTTTCTCCAGCATGGATTACCACTGGAGACCCCTGCGGTGAACTCCATCTCCCGCTAGGTGTTATGGTACACGGTCAGAAAAAAAGAGGAGACAAAATAGCAGTGCAGGAGGGATCTGGGATGGCCAGTTGTTCCCAGGAAACAGAAGGCCATGAGGCAGCCAGAATCTTGGTATTTATTGATCATACTCACGTGGGGGTGGGGGAGTGGCATCTGGATGTGCTGGACAAGTGACTAGACAGGCAAGACTTGTAACAGAGGGAACAAAGCATTCTTGCAGAAGGGATGGGACGGCCAGATTTAGGTTAGGGTTAATGAGTAACCTGCTTTGTAACCAGTTCTGGGAAGGAATTCCTCTGGAATCATGCAGGCCTTAGGGGAGATGTTATCTCATATCTTAGCCCCGTGGTATCATAGCTCATCTGTCTGAGCTCAGCCATAGCCATTGGTGATAAGCAGTACCACTCCGCCATCAGCCCCTGCTCTCATGAAGATGGCACTACACAGCCTTGGCCAGACTCACTAATTACACTGAAAGCCAGTTTAGGGAAGCCACCTCTATACAGCTACCCCTGCTTGCCAGCAAGCTCAGTCACACTTGGGTCTGGGGGACAATGACGTGGCGGTCCCCCACAGAGCACAGTGCAGCAGACTTGGGGTTGAGAAAACAGCATACAAATTCCATGGTTGTTAAAGTGGCAACAGCGTGTTGGCGCTTGGCTCCTCCCCTGAGAGTGGCTTGTAAGGGAGTAATAGCTGACTAACATTTTTAGATGGAGAAATAGATGATTTTATTTTCAGTTATGTACAAATTAAGAGATTTTTAAAACCACGAAGTTAATAAATGCTTTTTTTTTTTTTCAAAAAACATAGTACTGAATATAGAAAATGAAAGGTAAATGTTACTATAGTAGAATTGAATGTGCAACTTCCTAATTAAGATTCTTTAACTTGGTTATCCATTTCAGACAATTTCTCCCAGGGCTTTTCTATTTGGCAATCCGGGAGAACAAGGATTTCCTTCTTTAATTAATTTTTCTCCCTATTCTCCATTTTTTTGTTTGTGTTTTTATCGTTCCAAACTGAAAGGATTGGGAGGCGAGAGCCTTCCCTGTGGCTCAGGTGATGAAGGAGGAGGTGTGTTTGTGAGCGGCAGTGCCAGCACAGAAGGATGGGCAGAAGTGTCCGGAATTGGGTGTTTCTGGAGGAGCCCCCGTAGGAGCTCCTCAGATGTGGGAAGAGATCCCTAGAAGTCTGGGCTGGGGTCTGCTCTGGGGGATATTGTCGATATTTTCATCGGTCAGTCCTCTGCCCTGGACAGATGAGCATGGTTTTCTAAATAAATTTCCTTTGTGCACTGTCTCACTCAGCTCCTAACTCATGCAGAACATTTTGGTTACCCACCACCAGCCTGGGCAGTTTATAGAGATGAATTTGTTCTTTCTGTCTCATAAATAATACAAGTACATTCACACCTAAGAATTTCCTCATGTCACAGTCAATAGCCACGCACCATATTTCCACAGCGTTTCTTAACCAGAGCTGAAGTCAGTACAAAATGCAGTGGGTCAAAAGGGTCAGAAAGTAGAATACTTGCAGAGAGGATTCTGCCTGCTCTCTCGTCCCACTCTGCGTGTATAATACAGCGCTGCCTTGCAGGTTGTTCTGCTGTGTGCTTTCTTCTTCTACCGCAGTGGGGTGGCCCTCCAGGCTTCTGTGTTAATAGAAGGCATATATGATCTTTTAAAAAAGCTCAATAGTTTTCTGTAGTGTGGGCAGACGGGCCCACAATTTCTTACTCACATCTTGAATTTAAAAAAAGCTTTGGGGCTGGGGGTGTGGCTCAGTGGTAGAACATTGTCTAATATGTGTGAGGCTATGGGTTCACTTGCCAGCACCACCACCAAAAAATAGGTTTAACTCAAAACGCTCTGAAAATTGAATGTTTTGGTGTGATTCATTTGGCATATTGCCTTACTGTGCTGAGTTTGTTTAGTGACCAACCCTACTTTAACTATCTTGAGGCTGTTTACTTTGAGCCTCTTGGATGTTATATCAAATATGGTGATACTACTTTTTTAAAACTTTAGAATTCCAAAATATGTGTGGTTTCCAGGGTTTTTGTATAAGGAACTGGAAGCCTACTTTGGACATTTGGAAAAGGATAAATTTTCGGATAGGTTGAAGTCATGTTTTGTAAAAGTCATATTAAATAAAATGTTACTTTGTTAATATAGCAGTGAGAAATGAGACTCAGCCATAGAAATGGATTTCATTTTACACAAAACCGTTCCTTTTTGACTTCAGATTAATGGGACACCCTTTATCCAGTAACAGCTGCTTGTCTTGTGTCTGTCTGTTTAATTTTTCAAACTAAAATTTCAAAGCTGAATATTCACTGGTGTGGTTACATTAGCTTCAGACACCAAGACAGGATTCAGTGTGCAAGGATTCTATTTTGGGAAATGCCAGCATGAGAGAAAATAGGGAGGGAGAGAGGGGGAAGGCTGGGAGAATTGTCAGTCTGCAGTGCCAGTCTGACCCCAAGTGAAGCGGAGAGGGAGAGAAGGTTGCTAAAAGTATCCTAGACTGCTGCGCAGTCCGAGAACGGCCAGCAGAGGAAGCCTCTGTCTCCAGGAATAGACCCGCCTTAGTGCCCCTGCAGGCAATGGCTGGGATCAGCCTGCGGGAAGCACGGCCGTGGAGCAGATGTGGAGAGGATTCCAGCGCAGTGGCAGTGTCCTGGGGCCCCATGCTCCCTGTAATGAGAGATTGCTGGTTTCCATGGTTTTCCTGACTGCAGATGTAAAAAAGATGGAGATACGTACATTAGTTTAAATTATAGACCTCCTTTCTGTTGTACAGAATATTCTGGAGTTCAAATGGACCCCAAACGCAAAGGGTCGTTTTGGTCAGGATTAGCTTGACAAAGGAGCTTATTCTAT